GGGAAAGAGGCCAGGAAATCTCCTGTACCTTTCTCGGGACTTGCCTACTTTCCTCTCCTCCCTAACTCTTTACTTTCCTCCAGTACCTCCTCCACACAGGCTGTCCACAGAGAAGCTGCCGTCAGAGCTGTGTCTACACTGACCTCATGGTCCATGTCAAGACCTTGGTTCCCATTTCATTCCTTCTGGGGACAAGGGCAGAGCAAGACGTGACTCAGACACTGCTTGTGCACTTGGGTTTCCTTTCTATAGGTTCAACAGTGGCAAGAGGGGAAGGATGGGTGGAGACCTGTTGGAAATGCTCTCCTGGGATAAAGATTTGAGGAGCAGACCCAGAAGAGATGCAGTAGAGCGGCCCACACCACCTGCACTGAGCTATAATACTGTCATCCAAAGGCAGAATACAGGCAAACTTGCTTCCACGTCTGAATTGAAAAGTGAAGGGAAACTTTTCTGGATTGAAAGACCATGGCAATAATCGTAGAAACAAAATTAATAACTCTTAAAAAATAAATTCATTTAGATCACCATAAATTTAATTTCAGCCTGCAACCGAATGCTTTGTTTCCCTTTTGGCTTATTGAACACTCTAATGCAATTTGCATTTTTGATCACAGATGAGCTCAAAACAATCTAACATCATTTTGAATTTCAAAGTTTTGGTTAGAAATGTGGAGAAGAACTGTTCTAGCATCTCTAAACTAAGCTACCTCTTTTTTTAAAACACTGAAATTAGAAACTCTGTTGAGTTCAAAATACCATCTTTTCCAATTCTTGCAAGAGCAGGGAAGGCTGAAACTATTGGCTAAATTTGACCCTGTTTTGCTTCAAATCTTTTGAAAAGCAATTTTCCAGAGTATTTACTATGCGTCAGAAAGTGACATTGATCTCCCATGCAATGCCCTTCCCCCGTTTTCAAACATCTTCCTTCCCTTAAAGCTGCCACCCACCGTTGCAGGATGCCAAGGCATGTTGTGATGCCTGCAATAACATCTCTACCCTCCTGGCAGAAATATCCGAGAAAGCCAAGCTGCGCCAAAAAACACAGCTCCTGCTATGAAAGCCCCGGACACGGGAGAGGGCACCTGATGGGCAGGCTGGAGAGCATCTGTTTTTTTTTTTTTTTCTGTCTAGCATAAAGGTATCAAGGTATTCAGCAGAGAAAAACCCTGTTCACTTCACGCTCATGCATGGCTGGGATAGCTGGCAGCCCGAAAGCCAGCAAGCGGAGGGAAAAGCTGTCACAGATGGACACGGATGATCAAAATTGGACAGTAATTCCAGGAGTAGCAAAGGTGACACACTGAAGTGTAATGTCCTGGAAAGAGTCCTTCTGTCTGCCTGGTGGGGGCTATGGTTCAAGGTGTTTCTTTGCCCCCATCGCCATAGCACCCGAGTGACATCAGAAAATAAGAGAATAGAGAAAGTTCTGTAGCTCGAGGGGGAAAGCTAAGATATTTGCATTCACTATTAGTTCCCTTTACCATAACAAAATACTGGAGCATGTGAATAATTTCAGAAAAGACCCCTTCCCTTGCAGGAGTTCAGAGCTTTTGATGGGAATTAAGAGATCCTCTCATCTCAAACCTGCATAGATATGCCCAGATCAAGGCCAGGCAACGCTTGCTTGTCCCCAGCAAGGGACCTTAGAGGAATAAGTAGGTCTCTTGGACAATGAGCATCAGCAGAAAAGGGAAGAGTGGATAAAAAAATGAGCCAACCGTGCAACATGTGTTGGGCTCTGCACAACTTTTCCTTGGCGAAGCGACAGTCTCAGACTGAACTTACACCAGGAGTAGTGGAGAATCGGGTCCAGAGCCCCTCCTCTTCTTTGGACATATCTAATGTTTGGGGTTGGAGATGCAGAAAATTCCTTGTTTTGCAGGGATTGCCTGCTGCAAGGAAGTGAGTAGAAGTTGTGTGTGTATGATCCCACCACTCTCCATCCCTAGGGGCTTTGACTTCATCTCCAAATTCCTCATGGCAAAGTCCTCCCTCCAGACCACCTAGTCTTCCCACTGCCAGACACATGATGTTCAGTGGCAGGAGGAACCTACATAAAACAAACCAGGGTGTTGGCATTTATGGCACCCAGTCCCATGAAGGGTCTCCTCCCTGTAGGGTCTGGAGGGATGCAGGTAGGGTGAGCATCGCACCTGGGAAAAGTAAGATTCTAGGAAAGGGGGTTTTTTTTCCCTTTTTCTTTTTTTTTTCTTTTTTTTCCTTTTTCTTTTTGCATTTTTATTTCCTTTTTTTTCCTTTTTCTTTCCTTTTTCTTTTTTTTTTCTTTCCTGTAAAACATTTTTAACTATTAATGAGGCTTTTCTGTACTAATGTGGACCATAGCTGTATGTAACTGAAACTGAGCTAATAATTTGGACTATTATTAGATTGTTAAAACATTAATTAGGCAAGCTATTTTTGCTCATACCAAGATTTCGAAAGGAAATGGAAGGAACAACTTGGTGTGCTCAGGACTGCAGTGGGGAGCTCAGAGGCTGAATCTGGTCAAGGACAATGCAGCAAAGGGAAGCAGGACCCAAGGATCTTCAGGGCCCAGGACACCTTCTCGCAGGAGCTTACCATAAAGTAGTAGAGCTGTGAAGACCTGGCCATGAACTCTGGTTTGCACTCAGCCACGCAGATCTCCACGAATCCGGCGTGCTGGCTGGGCTTGGCCTCTCCCATCTCACATACTATCCTGGGGAGAAAATATGAACCAGAAGAAAGGTTTGAGGGATGTCTTGGTGGTCTGGGTAAGAAGAAATTGGAACAAACAGCCCATACTGCAGGGGAATGGACTGTAGACTTAACCCATTGTCTTCTTTCCAATCCAGGATCCAAATTATGGACAAAGTTATTCTTTAAAGAGTGTTAGCTTTTGGGGCAAATGCTCAGCTGGTGTAAATCAACATCACTTCACTTCAATATACAGACAAATGCTGGGTTGATATCTGACCACAGGGGTCCCACCAGCCTTACATGGTGGACAGGTTTGCGGCTTAATGATCACTCCTGGACATGGTAAGCTTCTTCTTAGGACTACTGCCCCCCAAACTGGAATTGAACTGAGCTTTAAGTGAGGAATGGCATCTTCCAAGGTTGGGTGGAATGGACTCCTTAGAAGACCCTACAGATAGCAATGACTGTCATTAGGTGTGCTGTGGCCTGCTGTCTGCCACACACCCAACTTACTGCTCTGCTGGGATGTACCCTTCCACCAGTGGCTTGCACTCCACTCCAGCCACTTTGACGTGCGATGCGATATCTCGGAACTCCAGCCCCAGATTCTCCCCACGGATGGTCACTTTGGTGCCTCCTTCACGAGGGCCTGTCACTGGATTGATCTGGAGAAACAAACCAAGAAGAAGGAGAATAATCAAACCACCTATGTAAAGACATCAGCATCCTCTCAGGTAAGAGAAAAGGTAATATCAGGTCTCTTTGTGACCGCTAGATATATTCTGAATTATGAACACTGAAGAATTGAGGGAATAAGCCTCCTCCAGATGCATCACTGGGTCCAGCTCCTTTGAAAACACATACCACACATGCCCCAAACTCAGAGTATACAAAATTCTGCCCCACATCTCATTTTCTCTCTTTTGAATTCTTGCAAAATATCCAGAGATGAATAGATGTTTTTTAGGTCAGAGCAAGGGTTTTCTGGTGGTGTAGCTGAGCTCTACACTTTATAGACATGAGCCATAGAAAGAAATGGGATAAAGAACAAGAAAAGGACATGAATGGCTCCAGTTAGTCACTTTAAATCCTAAATTTCCAGCCCAAAGCACATGGAGTTTTTTATGAGTTCTGGTGGTAGGTATTGGTCATGCATCACAAAATCAGATGAAAATGTCCACCTGAGAAAAACAGATGAGATACAACAGCAACAGTGTGTCAGATTAGGTACGGAGTAGGTGGACGGTGACTGAGACAGCAGCAGCCGTTGGTGTGTGCCAACACATATTTCTGAACGAGCTCCAGCCGCCCTCATGGGAGAGCTGGGAGCGGGGGAAGCTCAGACATGGGAGCATGGACAGCTTATTTGTGGGGTGGAGGAACCTGGGCTGGGAGGTCCCTGAAACTCAGCATGAGATGAGTGGCTATCCCAACCATCCTGGTGGCATGATGTTTTCATCCCAGTCTGGACCTTCACCAGACCCCAGCAGGGGTAGGAGCAATGTGTCTTGCTCAGCAGCTCTGTGTTGGGCAGCAGAGCCAAAGCACCATCCAGTCTCCAGAGTTCACCTCTCCCTCCCATTGCAGAGCCCCACCCTCCACCCAGAGTTGTCCATCTTTCTGTGATATTTCTAGACCATGCAAAGGGGGTGAGTACACGGAAGAACACTTTGCATCGCCTCCATCACCCTTGTTCAGGCCAGGTGGAAATTAGCATTGGAGACGTCTGCTCAACATTGAAACAACATGGAAATCATGGGGCCGGCCCTTAATTATCTCAGTTCTACCCTTCCAATTATTCACCGTGCCCAAATGCTTTGCCATACAACTGGCCAGTTGAAAGGGGCTTCAAAGGCTGCTTTCTAAGGGTATTCCCTGCTGCCCGTTCAGGATGCCATGGTTGCCATCTGCCAGCGTTGGCAAGCTCCCTCCACAATGAGGGAGGGGGAATTCCCTGTCTGAGGTCTGTACCCGCTGGCCGATGGCTCTGCCAACTGGGAATCTAGGGCTGGCAGCTAGACCCTTGCATCGCGGCTGGGGCCGTGGGGGG